TTCACGTTTGTAGTTTTATCTACCATTTATTTTTAAGTATTTTTATTATTGTTTGTTTATTTTTTCCGTTTTTTATGACGGGCAAGTCGAGACTTGTTTGCGAGTGATTGCCAAGTCACGAGTTGTTTACAGCCGGGGTCAAAAGTTCAAGGTCAGTGAAGTGGAAATCCCCGGTTTTTTTTAGTCGATGTACTACCCAGGGGTGGTGGGCAATAACGGGTCTCGCCTCATTTCTGGATTTTCCCATTTTTTCTCACCAAAAAGATTCCCACGATTTTTTGAGTCGATGTACTAACCAAGGGTTTTGAGCAAAACGGGGTAAAAAGGGGCGTTTGGTCCAGAACTGTCCCTTCCCTACTACTGCGTTTCACTTTCACGGACACAAAAATCGACTCCGCTAATGTAGCACACGTGTGCGTTGCGTTCGGCCGTCAAAATCGCTCTCGGGGCGATTTTGACGGATACGCAATGCCTGGCGTAAGTGTTGACGCGCGTATGGAAAGACGCCTTTAAATGTTGAATGTAGTTAAATGACACAGCACGTATTATAAGTATACAGAACGGAACTAAACGTGGCTGTTACTCTGACTAAATTGTTTGGAGTTGTGAATTACTGGTATATGGCTAATACAATGCAGTCGCGTCGTTTAAAATAATACTTTTATATGGCTTTTGCGTCTTCATACACACTTGGGTGCACACTTTCCATATAATTAGGGAACAGGTGCACATTACACATACTTTTCGAATCTGATGTATACTTTAGGGTCCGTCAAAAGTTCTCCAAACTTCCATAATGACCAAACTAAAGTAAGGGTATGTAAATGTGACGAAATGGCTGATAATACTCCCAAGTTACGATGGAAAACGCGTTTCTGAAACCCTAAGTTTGTTGATTTAATGTGCAGATGGAGGGGTCACTTGTGCTCATCCACGTGGTTTGCCTGTTGTGGGTCTTCAGCACTTCGGTGGGCCTGGCGGCCGACTCCGTTGAGCCGACGTCAACTTCACCTGAGGGATCTTGCTGCAACCTTTGCCACCAGCAAGGTCAAACGGGGTCACCAGGTATACCGGGGATACCTGGTGTACCGGGAAACAACGGTAGTCCTGGACCAAGCGGCCCCAAGGGGGAGCAGGGATTGGGCCTCCCGGGGCCGAAGGGGGACGTCGGTGACCGGGGACAGAAAGGAGATCGTGGTGAACGAGGGCACCAGGGACTAGTGGGGAAACTTGGGCCGCCTGGAGAGAAAGGAGAAAAAGGGGAGCCTGGAGAATCAACTCTCGTCACGCCAAAACCGCCTTCCATAGTTGCTTTCAGCGCATTCCTTTCAACGCATTTCCGCGGCGGCAATGGTGATGTAGTCGTATTTTCGAACGTCGAGACAAACATCGGCGACGACTACAATTCGCAAACGGGCGTCTTCACATGCTCAGTTGCCGGAGTGTATTACTTCAGCGTAAATCTCATGAGCTTGAACAATGACGCAGGGGTGTATCATCATCTGAAGAAGAACCGACAAACCATCATCACACTACACGACAATCAGCAAAATTTCCACCACCAGTCCAGCAATTCGGCCATCCTTATTCTGGCTGTGGGGGACACAGTCTGGCTTGAGGCTGGTGGGCAGAGTCGTGGAATTTATGGTGACAGCCGTCATTTTTCAGATTTTTCTGGGTTTCTGATCAGCACAATGCCAGCCTCGTAAAAAAAAACTGTTTTCCGTTTACGCCCAAGTCTCAAAGTTCCAACCACACTGTTTCCAGTTACGGTTGATAGAGTTTTTAAAATACGGCAATTACAGGTTCTTTGAAACTTGGGTTTGTGGTTGCCGTTGGCACACAATAGAACCAAGAATTTAAAGAATCAAGGTTTTTGATTAATGCCGAACTTCATGTTACATTAATCGAACCGTACCTGCATGCACAATTATTTACAGAACAGAAGTAAACTCAATGAAGGGTCATTTTTCAATGCATGTACGCATGACATAAACCTCATCGATGTATATTTTTATATCAAACTGCACGTGAAAATGTAATCACTAAATGCCTAGTTTTTATCTCGACCAGTCGAGAATTTAATGGAGACAGCATTTGTAAGTTGGAATTACCTATGAAAAGCCTATTTAGCTTTTAGAAAAAAATTGTAGCATTAAAAATAGAGGCTTTATGTGAGCAATATACATGGAAGTGTACTTCAGAACTGCAATGGACTATGTGTTCTTTGATTGTCTAATAAGACTGTGGAACCACATAAACTGAATGGAACTCGTAATATTTTGGACCGAAACAACGAATGCAAGTGTCAACTCCAGGCCTTCTGTGGACTCCAAATGGCCTAAAATTATCAAGCACCAGTGAAGAGATTAAAGATTGCAAGGAACCTAACTGCAGAAAGATCAATTTTGTGCTCTCCTTTTGGGTGGCCGATCAGTAACGGCTCCCTCAAGTTTTTGTTGGAAATTTGGAGTGGTGGCGTTGTTCAAATTTTGTCTTAGCGAAGCAAATTTCCAGGAGGAGCGCTCATCAGCTACTAACTGGTAAACCAAGAAGAGGGTCATTTTTGAGGTATTTCAAGGTAATTATGATTTCATCCTCTTGCATCTCTTTTGCTTTAAAATTCATTTGCTTTTCTTTGGGGTGGGGTCATTTTTCAATCATAGATTTTCTGTGAGGAGAGCAGTGCCCACTTGCGCCCACTTACGCCCATCCTTGCCATTGATAAGTTTCACAAAATAGTGTCGTCTATCCAAAAAAAAAAAAGCTGGACATGTCCCTTCCAATTTCATTGATGACTTTTTCATAGTATCACTGATCATAATCTAGCTGTTTACTGAAAACGGAAGAGACAGCGAAGATTTTTCCGTCTTTAGAGACTTACTTTTAGAGATAATTGTTAAAAGGACCTCAAACGATGTTTAGATAAATTGAACTCGAACCAAACAATTTTAAGTCCATATAACCTTAGGCGTACAGCAATCTACTGGTAGTACAAATCCTTTGCAGCGATCTGTCGTTGGTTAACTGACACCAGAACCCGTGTTATGGACAGTGCGAACCAGCCCTTGGATCACTGATCGCGATCCAGATCTTTGTGAAACAAACAGGCCCTATGTGTCGTTCATGGCTCATCACAGCCATGCCCCGTTAGTTCTGGCATTATTCATTAGTGCACAATGCAGCAGCGATGCATTTATGTCTGGAGCCAATCGTTCTACGTTAACAACCTGCAAAACAAGACTGGCCAAATATCATGTTTTACAGCCGTGGATCCTTTTTTCATTTACATAATTCAGGCGCGGGGACTACGCATGCCCATTGCAGCCTGTTAAGTCCTCGAGCTTATTTGAGCGTACGCATTACATGAATCCTGCCCTTACATTGGACATCTTGAACGGAACGATCAGACGAAGTGGTCTTTGGTAATTGTACAAATGATTTTTTTCTTTGGTGACAAATTGAGGAACATGGAATCACGCGTCTCACAGACGGCAACGACAGCAGAGTTTATAAATATGACCATTGACGCTGGTATGCTTTGCAAACTAGACGACGATATCAAGATTTTCGCTCGGCCAGTGGACGCGGTTATCATCCTAGCAACTGCCGTTTGCATCCTGGCAGCAAATGTATTAAACTTCGCCGTTCTGACGACAACGCCGTCGCTCTGCAATGTCCACGGATACCTGTTGACGGCCCTGACAGCGGGCGGATTTGGTCTGGGATGCTTGGCGGCTTGGACCGTGTACCCAGTGTGGGCCGGCTGTTGGCCCTACGGTGAGACGGCTTGTCGAGTCTGCGCCTATTTCGTCCAGGTCCTGGCGTTTTTAAACACGTGCGTTATCAACCTTCTGAACTGTGAACGGTACGTCGCTATCTGTCACCCACTGAAGTATACAGCCTGGGTCACAAAGAAGCGGACATTTGGCGTCATTTTCGTGAGTCTATTCGTATCGTTCACGCCGCTGATTCCTCTGATGATTACAGATCAACTCAACTATATCTTCGTCGGTAGCGGCTACATATGCATCGCACAAACTCGAGACGCTGAAAACCTTTCACTCCCGCTGGTGTTTGCTTGTATTGTAACGATCCCAAGCTTCGTCATAGTTGTCATGACGGGATTTGCCATGCTTCGAAGACTTACCAGACGCTCGTGGCAACTTCATCGTCTCTTAGGATTCGTGGGGGACGGAAGCCGCCGTAGACAGTCGAGAGTAGCACGTCGCAACGCCAGACTGCTGGTTGTGTCTGTGCTAATCATTCTCATCTACGTTATTTGCTGGATACCTCTGTCGGTAATCAACATTGTAACAAACAGCCCCACCTCTGGGTCCTCCAACGAGACGCCTTGGTTCGCTCTGCTTTCGTTGTGGCTGGCTCTTTTCGTCAGCCCGATGTGCAATACGGCCATTTACATGTTCATGATGGATGCGTTCAGAGCTCGCGCCAAAATGTTGCTGACTGCATTCTGCTGTAAGATGCGACGCGGACTATGCTGCACGCAAAATGAACACATGCTGTCCTCTACAACGGAAGTTCATTCCACGGCTCTCTAGAAACTGCATTGTGTCGGATTACTCTTCTGCCAAAGGGTCAGCAATATTTTCACATTGTCTCATAGAGGGGTCTTTCTTGCCTGTGTAAATTGTAAAAGATAGAGAACATTGGTTAATACCAAATTGCGCAAGGACATTTGCCAAGAAAAAAATCAGAAAAGAGGACCGTTGAAATAGACCAAAAAGAATCGTTCTCAAACGAAATTTTGCACATTAATATGTACTGTCAGGTTTGAAAGATTTCATCAATATAGATCAACAACCGACTCACGTTTTCTCCTTTAAAGGAGAAGAAATTTATGGTATTACTTAAAACATTCTACACACATCACATTCTACTGATATGCCAAGCGGATTTCTCAAAGCTAAACGTGAGCCATGGAAAGACAGTTAGCATTTAAACACCTTACTAAACGCATTTTAATGTAAAATTTTTAAACAGGTGTTTAAATATGTTTAAAACGTGGGTATGAAAGTGTTTAAACGCTACGCAGCTTTTACACTATAATAATCTTTGTCTAGCCGAAAACATATCCTGAACGCACAATAAATGAACAGGTGTTGAAAGATTAAATACTTTCACACGGGTGAAATCAAGACGAGGCCCCTACATCGGATAGCGTGGTGTAAACTGTGAACAGTGGATTAAAAAAAGTCATTAACGAAATGGCGGTGTAGACCTGGACGTGTTAAGAGACACTTCACAAGGTTGAATAAAATTTGAAACCAGACTGTCTCAATAGCACATATACATTCGCAGGACAATGACAACTACTTTGTATAATTTATGGTATCACCATTCTGTTCCTCTGAAACTCCTGGTTTTGGTGTGTATAAGTTCGTGAAGAACTATTAACTTAACAAATCGAAAAGAGAGCTCTAAAACTCAGAAAATGCTGCAGAAAAATTCAGATGAACAAGACCGAGTGTCCTTCATGCCAAGTTATAAATGATTTTGGTCGTACCATTTTGCTATGGTTGCACCGTTGCTGTAGCGAAATGTGTTGACCAAGACTAATGGACTAAAAGCATTCGTGCAATAAACACAGGGTTTTAACGAGAGGCGCAATGTTTTATGTACACCCAGGCCTGCACTTTCAGCAAATGGCCTGAGCAAAGACAAAGGATGATATGTTTCTTCCAGGATAAAAGGTGGCGGGTCAAGAGTGCATCGTTGAAGTTGATTTATTTTTGTTTCAAAGTGGTGTTTCTTGCACTCTCATTTGGGCCTTCTACCTTACCAAACAATCTTGGTAATAAGAGACTTCACACATACCAGAAAAATAAATTTCATGTAGTTTTATTAGGAATTATAAAACAGATTTCGCAGCAGTCTCCGTTTGTATATGTAAACATGATTTAAAACTGTAGGAAGAGCAATCCAGATATGACAAATGTGTATGAAAAATTAACCCTGATTTGCAACGTCGAAGAAATGATTATATCCATGGAGAGCATTCTGGCTGCTTGGCAAGTTTGTTAAAATAATTATAGATTCACAGTATTGCTTTTGTTTTATATTGAATTTCATACATAATGATCTGATTACATAGATATATTGAAAAAAGGCGTTACTTCTGATGTGAATTTTTGTCACTGGCAAGAACTTGATTTGTGATGAATAACTTACATTTTAAATACATTTTCCGAAGACATATATTTTCCCTGGCAGTTTTGTCACATAATAACAGATTCAAATTATTACAAACTTGTTTTATATTGAGTTTCAAATTTAATGGCCTGCTTACATAGATATATTGAAAAAATGTGTCACTTCGGCTGTGAAATTTTGACACTGGCAACAACTCGATTTGTGATGACAATAACTTACATTCTCAAAACCCCTTTTTTCTTCTGAGAAGAAATTAAAGACATTCTACTGGTGCATATCACCCAATAATGATTCGGAATGGTTTTAAATTGATTTATATACTTTGACATGGTTCCAAGGATTTGCCTGTCCACTTCAAGTTTTTGTGGTTATACAAATGTAACTTTTTAAGACCTTCACGGAAATTTTATGTCATTTGTTTCATAATTAAATGATCAATGATTTGATGCAGCAAAGGTAAATATGATCAAACACAAGCATTCGTTTCTTTGTGAATTTCATATATTACGTAGAGATTGTGAATAAATTAATGCATGCCGAAAAGGCCATGGGCCCAGACCCCGAGATTTTGGTATTTGTTTCTTCTTCGGTTGGGCTGATAGTGTGCGCCTCACTTTGCCCTGAACTACCGATTCAACTCTTCAAGACTTAACTTTGTTTCTTCATCTGCCTTTCTGTTTTTTTGACTGTCTGTCATATCTTTGTCCTGAATTATTAATCTATCTCTCCAGGTCTTAACTTTGTCTGTTTGTTTCTCTATCTGCCTCTCTGTTTTGAACTATCTGTCTTATCTCTCTGCATGTTCGCTACATGTCTGTCATCTGTCTTCCCAATCTCTCTGGCTCTGTTGTCCATTTCACCGTCTTTCCTATCATGCCTCTGCCTAAAACGTTCTTCTATTTGGTCATCTTCCTAATTACTCTTGTTATTTTATGTAGCCTCGAACTATTTTTCTATGGTTTCTGTCTTCTGTCACAAAGTCTGTCTGCCCAGTCTGCGTGCCACTATTACATCAAAGTTTTCTGTTGACATTACGCCAGCTAAAAGGTCTTATATTATGATGCCTTCTAACACTTCCAAGTGTCCCTTTTACCTTTTTTCTCTTCGTGAAATGCATAAATTACGCAGTGATTGTGAAGAAATTAATGCACGCCGAAAAGATTACGGGCCCGGAAGCGAGAGTTTGGTATTTGTGTTTTCTTTCTACAAGTGGGGATGACAGACTGTGCGCC